TCTATCTTTGGTAAAAAAATGAGCTCGTTTGGTCGAGCCATAAAGGAGATATGCAAATTTTCCAAACTCTAAGGACTTTCCGGACACCCTATAGAATAGGTTATTCAGTGAAACCACCTAATTAGGTAACTTAATTAGGTTGAATAAAAAAAAATAGTCCAACTCTAGTATGTCATTCTCGTAAAATGTTGTAGATTTATTATTTAATACATGCAGATTTTCAATGATGCATATTTCGGAACATTGAAAATACGATTTTTTCTTTTTTTGAATAGTTTCGTCTTACATGGAAGAATTCACTAATAATCCAATATCTCGACAAAAACACAACAAGATCATGAAACCTTTGAAGGTTGCTACAATTCAGTGGTCTCTTACTACTGAATGAAATATGGACTTGAAAATCTTTAATTATCTGAAGCTCGAAAATGTTTTCAGCCATTGAAAAAAATGCTTTATTTCTGTATTAAAAGATATGGTAGGCTTCTGATTATGAAATGGGATGCAAACCTTCGACTTTTAGAAAATTTTTAATTTATTCCAATCAAATCGTATTCTTTATTTAAAAAGAAAAGGATGTAAAATGCAAAAAACCTAGTTCAGCATTGCCTCACATTTTCAACTTTCAAAAAGAAATTCGTTATATCCCAAAGTTTTTTATCTTTGTCATATTCCTAGGAAACAGTGATAGTTTTGAAAAAGATTTGTAAACTTTTCTCTTATGAATAAAAACTTCGAACGGTTCAATTCACATTAAAATCTATTCATACACTTACTAAGCACTGTTCTAATTGAGTATTAATTTCGATTTCATCCTAAAACTGTTTCTTTATCCGAAAATAGTACTCACTCGTGTAAAAATATAATTAAATAAATATCATTGTCTTTGATTAAAAGGTAGTGAAGTAGTAAGTGATAAAAAACAACATCATTGATTATATTGTGTAGTCTTTTGATAAAAAACAACTGATTATTCGTTATTATTTTCAATTACTTTTTGATTATTAAATAGAAGTTTTTTTTTACATCTGCTGTACTTATGAAAAGATTTGTGTTCGACCGATCTTACAATGTCTGAGAAACGGAGTTGATTCTGTATGTTTTCTGTAGAACTTGATTTTGAGAGAAAGGCTACTAACGTAAGATATTGTCTTCCAATATTATGGATAATTTATTTCTCGATGAATAGTTTGAAACTTTTCCAGCGACACATCGACGTTCTTTGAAAAGACCTCTTATTTTAATAGTACTGTTTCGATGGATTTTTTCTCTGACTTAAAATATTTTAATAACTCATATTTCTATTGTTTTTTTGTTTTCAGACTAACTCCAGAACGAATTATTTATTTCAAAATGTGAAAGAACTTATACTAATCATCGATCAGGAATGGTCCTTCCATTCAATTGAACATCTTTCGACAATTGTTAATCTATCGAGTCTACAAGTATTGTATTTGGATTTTCGGTGCGAATGTATGTTTGTTGCCAGTTTGGATACCGAAATGGAAGCTCTATTCAAAAGAGCAAGAAATCTCCATTTAATTCAAATAGTCTGTAACAACTCTGAAAGAATCAAGCTGATAACTTTTAATGCTATCTGTTTGAAATTACCTCATCATATAAAACGCCTTGATACTGATATTACGTATATGAACGACGCAAAATTAATTTTGGAAAGAGCCGAACATTTATCAAGTGTCACATTTCGAAAACCTAACCCACAGGCTTTTGCGAACGAGGTCACTGAATGGCTCTCGCGAATGAAAAGAGAATTTGCATATCAAATAGAGTGGCGTTTAGGAGAAGGCAATGGCTCCTATTTCGGCCTTGTTTTTAGCTCTCCTATACACTTTTGGCTTGGCAAGAGCATGGATAAGCAATCGCATGATTTAGTTAGTCACAAACATATCAAGCGAACACATCACTATCATTACTCATGATTTATTGGTTTGATGCTTCTTGGCATGCTTGATTTCAAATGTTCATTAGTATTTTATTTAATTCAAATGCATGTTCAAAATAATCACATGGATAATTGAAAATATTCTACACCTAAATTGAAGTTTTTTTTTCTCCAAAGAAACATTTCTATTTAAAATAAAATTTTTACTGAAAAATTCGATCATTGCTCAAAACAGAAAAATACATCATTTATATAAAGAATTTCTTATAATGAGCATCAAAGTGAATTACTAATATGAATACCAATACTTTTGAAAACGACTTGTTTCATAAGACATTGATGATTGCTTCTACAATTCGACGATTATCATTTTTAAAAAAAGTTTTGAAGGCTTTAAACCAGTAACATTATCGAACAATTTTATTCTCATATTTCCAATAGCAATGAATAGGGTGTGGGTGTGCGTGGTTGTTCTTCTTTTCATCACCCACACCCACCCAGTCTCCTTTCTATGTTTTTTTTAAATGAAACGATTCATTCAATTGTTTATCAATTTGATTGTCAAATAGAGACATATTTCTATATTTGTCGTTTAACAATTTATTAATATTGTTTGTAATCTATCCAATAAGTTTAAAATATTGAAATTTTACTATTGGATTTTGGCAAATGCCAGGAGATGAATAACATCGACAGATAGACACTGAGACACATTCATAGGCCAATGCATATACTGACACCGGTTATCCTAAGTTTTTTTGTGCATGCTAAATTCATTGGTGGCAAGTGTTCTAGTGCTGATTATTCTAGTGTACAATAATCCATGCTTAAGTTTCTGTGCTCATTGTTACAGTTGCCAAAAAAAAAGAATTATTCATTTATTGTTTTGATTATTTAATCTAGAATTGATTGAATTTCCCTTCATTTATTAAAAAGAAGAACTATCCAGAACGAAAATTTTATTTGATGGATGTATTTTTAAAACTTATATTTGAAACAAGATTCTGTTTAAAATGTTTGTTTGTGAAGAAAAATAATTTTTCCCCTTTTCGTTTTGACGAACAGAATATATTAAAAAAACATTCATAAGCACAAGTAATAACCATAAAAATATAAGCTAAAATTAAATAAACAAATGTAAATCGATATTTTATCTCTTGGAGTTTTCTTTCATAGACTCTCATTTTGAATACTATTTGATATAGGAATGAAAAGCCATTTTTCAATTGAATTCTTAGCTGAAAAAGTTTAACGAAACATGAAAGAAATAGTTATTATACATATTCAAAAGTAAAAAGTAAGGACATAGTGTTGATCACATTTGAAGAAGAAATTGTACAGTTTTCTGACATATCTTCCTTGAATATTGATGTCAAACAAAATGAATTAGTAAATTCATTAATCACGATTTTTCTTCGAAAATACGTACAATTGAGAAAAATTCTGAATAGAAAATCATTGCTTTTAAATAATGGTATTATTTGCATAGCTGGAGAAACAAAAAGAAAGAATTCTTGATTATACATAATAGTAGAAAGAGATACATTTAAGAAATGATGTTTATACATAAATCAAAATATGATGAATACTATCACCTATTTCAAAGAAAAGATAACTTATATGTCTTGCATGTGGGTGGGAATCTCGAATCAATGTTGTACTTTCAGCTACACCTACACTCACTATCATTGAGAATGTTGAATAGTAATAACAAAAGAACTTGGTTGTTTTTCATCATTGTGACCAATTCTTGATAACGAAAAATGCAGCAATGTTAAAGCATTCAGATATATACTAAACCGAAAAATCAGTGCCAAAATAAGAAAATAAAACATTAGAGCATAAAAGCAAAAAATCATTCAATACTATAATAGAATCAAATATTATAAATGATATATAAAACGGAAAAAGAATGTATTTCAAAACAATCGAAAGTAGGTAAGAATTGTATGTTAATTAAAATCTTGTCTATCAATATATGCAATGTTTCCTGCTGTATATGGACCATAGAAATAACTATATTACATGATACTTGATAACCTCATCAATCGATTTGTTCTAAAATAGAAGACGCATCATGTGTAGAGACAACAGTTGTTGAATATTATGATAATGGTTTATTTGATAAACACTATTTTACTAACATTGTAATATAATGCTGATTTAAATAGGCATATAGTTAAACACGAAATTCATAGATATAAAATTGAGTTAATAAAACTTAATCTTACTGAATGTAAGACGATGAATAGCATTTTAATAGATTTTAATTAAGAGAATATTTTTATTGTTTGAATTCAAATTATCATAATCGATGTGGTTTGATTTTCCTATACTAATAATACCAAATACAAAAACAATATCTTCGATTTTGTTCTAAATTATATTTATGTCTTAATAGCCAAATATGAGCACGAAAAACTGAATTGCTCATAATTGATGTTGTTAAAATATGTTTGGATAAAGTATTTTTAATATAATTTTTGTTGATTTATTGAATTTATCAATTTATTGATATATGTTTCTGTGACTTTTCATTTATGCCACATAAATGTAACTCTTGCTCTTAGTATCGGATAAATAGTCAAGCCAGATATATGATTGATATATATTTATTTCTACAAAAAAATTTTTAAGTAAATTAAAAAAAAATAAAACAACTAATAGATATAGTAAAAAGAGAAAGAAAGAGTATTCATAATACTATAAGAAATTAGAAAAGCAGATATATAATAGTGACAAAAATAAAGATACAAAAAATAAAATAAAAGAAACATTAGATGAAAGAATATGATGAGAGACCATCATATTGTAATTCTCTAAAGTATTTAGTTATACAAAATTACTATTAATATTATTATTTGAAATGAAATTAATGAATAGAGTTTTTTTTAAAAATAACTACTAGACTATCTTTAATATTATATTCATCACTAAAGTTTAACTTGATGTAGACAATATTTGTAATTCCTTAATTTTTTCGATAAAATCCTTTCGATTCGTATTGTTACACTCACGAATGGCTTCTTGATAAAATGATAATATTTTTTTTTTCAATAGTTTTCATCTCATCTAGACAAAATGAATTTTCTATTTCTCATCTTTGTATATCTAACTCCATATATGTTATACCTTTTATTACAGATTTTAATTTTTGTCCATTATTTCCTTTTAGATGTTCCAGATACAAGATCAATTCATAACTATCAGATTCATCTTTTCTTGCTACTCTTATAGAGAAAAATGTTTGAATGACATGAATACCACCTTTGTCGTTTATTTTTGCTTCTACTTGAAAATCAACACCTCTTCCAATTTCTTTAGTCAAAAGAGTAACATGTTCATGTTGTCCAGCATATTCATCTTCAATCAATTTCTCTAAAATATCATTTTTATACTCTCTCACTCCTTTATTATCAATAATCTTATTTTGAGTTATAGAGAAAGGAACAACTCCTAAGTGTATTGAATAAAATTGATAAAATTCTTCCAACAGTTGTTCAATATCAAAAAATATTAAAACAGTTCGATCGTCTTTAAGTTTTCCTCGACTCTTAATAACAATTGTATCAAACCAATCCTTACAAAAAAAATGATGAGTAGTAAGATCTTTGAAAAATTTTTGTAATGATTCAATAAAGATTTCTCACCAGCAGATAAATCTTTTAATGTTCCACTAACCCCCAATATTCCATCATATGAATTAGACAATTCTGAATACGAAATTATTCCACATCGAAATGACACATATCCAAAATTTTGTTCATTTAAAAGAGCTTGATCAAAATTATTCTGCTTTTCATACATTAATTTTAAATAATTAATAAGACTAGTCTCATAGTTATTGAATGTATAAGGAGAAAATTTATCTTTGTGATCTTTAGTATGCATAATTTCACCAATAATTTGATATTTATGTCTAATTTTATTTTCTTTATTCATGTCATCATGAATTCTTATAGTTATATCTATCATTTGATCAAAATGATTTTCGATAACATTGAATTGTATCAAATGTAATAAAAATTTACTCTGACTACTTGAATCCAATACATATTGATAAACTAATTTGTTCAGATGATTTTTATCAAGATTACCATTCATTATATTTTTCCGTGTTTTTCTGCATTTCAGTAATATATTTGTCATAGATATGAACTACTGGAAAACGCACAATACCAAATTCATATGAACAAAATACATCAACTTGATCAATTAAAAGAATCGATGGCTTATTTGCACTTACTTGATTAGATTCAGGAACAAGAGCCTTTCCTGATATAATATCTCTTAAACTTTTCGTATTATTTTCATTTGATATTCTTTCATTACACATTTTTTCGAATGTTCTATATTTGATATGATTTGTATCTTTGAGAAAAATAATCACTATAACAAGCAACAGTGATATGATAATCAATTCAACTGAAATATCCTGCTAGAAGTGCTAATGCCTAGGATTTACCTTGTTCTGTTAAAATTTCTGCAAGATGATTAGGAGGAATACTATTAGTGTCTCCAGTAATATCTAATAATAATAATAAAACTTCAAGAATTTGAATACAATGTGCTTGTAATAAGTAATCTTTACTATATTTTTTCTTTTATAACATATTTTCCTTGATGATCGATTTCAATAAAATCAGAAACGTATAATTGATAGTCCTGCAATAATCTTTGGGATCGCTTTTCTCTTAAATTTTGGTTCATGAACAATATTTTTCGTTATTTATATGATATTTTCAATAGAATTAGTTTTATTAAGTATACTAGAAAAAATAGTCTTAAAAAATTTTTTCATTTTCTAAAAAAGCATCTTTTAATCTCTCAGGTCAAAATAAATTATTATTTTATTTTTGAAATAATGCTAAAGCCTTTTCAAAAGTTGTTTCTTTTAATTTTCTATTATATAAAAAGTATGAACCGATTTTTTCTAGTTTATCACAAAATTTTTCATAAGATTCATCTTCTACGATTAAATTTTCAAATGCTATAACACAATCTCTCTTAAATTGTTCTAAACTATTGTATTTCAATTGATCATTAAAATATTTAAACGATTTTCCTATAGCTATTATCAATGTTGCTTTTAATTTAATATCCATGTCATAAAAACCGGCGGTTAACCGCGGTTTTACCGGTGTGGGTGTGGGTGTCAGTGCTGAGAAGAGGTACACCCATATCTCACACTCATACTCACACCTACACTCACACCCGCACCTCACCCACACCCTCACACCCACACCACAGCCACACTCATACCCACACCCGCCCACACCCTAGGTTGTGCTCTGTATCATTACTTTTGTTCTTTCTGTTCTTCTCCTTCTCTCTCTCTTTTGTGTGAACATAAATATCTCTGTTCACGTACTGTCCATCAGCCATTCTTGGCTCATTCTTCCTCCCTTCCCATCTTTGTTTTGTTCCTCTTTCTTAGATATATGATAGAATAAAGGATAAACACCAACATTTCTGTCATACATGAGGTAAATGTATGATTGATAAATTCGTCACAGGCGGTAATGAATAAGAAAAAGAATATAAAATTGAAGATACAAAACATGAATGATATTTGTTCCGGACTCGTTTGAGGTTGCAATTATTAATGCTTCACGATTTTTTATAATTTGAAAGGAACTGCACTGAACCCTATTTCAAATATATTTCACATCACCATCCGAATTAGAAACTGGAAAAGTTGACCGATCATAATAATCGAAAAATCAATTTATGCATAACTAGATAAACATCAATTAGTAGTACCAGGTGCGTCTCATTCATTTTTGTCCTTCCTTCAATCTCGCTCGGTATGTTTTATAGAGTCACTATTCTATTTCTGTCATTTTCGCCTTTTTTGCAATTCCAACCAGTATGCATCTTTTCTATAGATTTTCAGATTTATTTTGATTATTAATCAAAACAGAATTTCCACTATCTGGAAGTTCAGCAACTCCTAAGAGATGATTCTAATATAATCAGAAACTTTTCAGTTTGAGTTATTCATTTTTAAATGGCCGAAAAATATTCCATTTTGAACATCTTTTCTACTACACTTTGGTTCTGCTCATCGTAGATGAGTGTGGGTGTGGTTATCGAATAGCACAAGAGCCATACCCACACCCGTAGTCACGCTCCTGATATTGCAGAGCGTATTATAAAGGACTTGCTTACGCATCAATGGGAGCAGCTAAATAGTAAAAATTTAGTTTTTTTTTTCAAAAAATTACATAAGATTGTTCATTAGAACGGATGAAGGGTATTCGTAATTTTCATCAATTCGATCCAGGAAATGATGGTACTGTTCTCTGTCGACGAACATCAAACTCTGTTGATGCTCATGTATTCACTCTTCAGAGTGATCAAAGAGTCGAAAAAAAACAGTCTTCTTTACGACAAGTTAACACACTACAAGATATTTCTATACAGAACATCATTATTTTCGAGCACAATGACAAACGGTACTTTGCTCAAGTCATTGAAATCGATATGGCGCAGCAAGAGATAATGATTCAATGCTAGAAGCTCCTTTTCCACATCCTTCATACTTCGCTGTCTTCGCAAAAATAGGAAACAAGTTAAATGTTGATTGACAAGGTATAATTGCATCGCTCATTGTTCAACCAATGATTGGTTAACGTCATCAACTTTTACTCTTAAAAGAGCAGTTTATTGACATCCAAAATTTTTCTAGATGATCATTTTTATGGATGACTGCATAACTACGTAAAGTTGATCAGCGAGAAAGACACCATACAATTGATATGAGTCTGCTTGTAGGCAAACTTTAAGAAAGAAAACGTGTTCTTCTCATGGATTTATCCAAGAACAAAGATGATTATTATTATTATTAGTGAGACTTATTTGGTGCTAACAAGTGTCCTAGTGTCGGTTAATTATATTCTATTGCTAAAATAGGTATTCAATATAGTTTTCAGGTCGAATAGATAAAATTTAAAAACTATCAAGCGTATGAACGTCTTCATTTTATGATGAATACTGTCCAAAATATTCCATCAAGATTTACTCAAGCTTTTCGACTTTAAACGAAAAACTAAGTACAGAATTTTGTAGAGCAGACTTTACTCTACAAAACTCACTATACCACACTTTCATAGAATATAATCATTTTGAGTAATGCTAATTAACTTTTTAGGTACTTTTCATAGTTATTCACTGACTGATTATTATTGAATAGTCGTCAATCTTTTTGAGAAAAATGCTTCAAAATTTATCGTCTCTTGTATTTCAGTTCTCAGACTATCAGAATATATAATTTCATTGTATATTCTTTGGAAAAATGTAGAAAAGAAAACGATATACATTAGGAAATAATTACTCTCAATTCAAAAATTCAAAAAAAAGCATTTTCAGCTATTGTCGAGTTTTCAGTTATTTTGATCATAACATCATGATTCCTATAGGAAATCTAGAATTTCTTTCTTGTACCAAAATGATCAGCGTAAAAAGCTCTGCAAAATCATATAGATAAGAGAATTTTTCAAATACTTTGTGTTTTTGATGGTTGACTTCCTATCGAAATACCTATTAAATAATTTTTAGATATTTAATGAAAAAGCAAAGCCATCATTAAGTAAATAAGCGTAATCACATACAACAGCAAGAAATGATTCGCATTTGAATGAACTATAGTTTTAGAACAAATACAGAAAAATATGTTTTTTTACTTTTCATTAAAATAATGAACATGTTCGTGTTCTACGATACATAAAAGTTTCATCAGGTTCAGAGGTGGTCTTCTCATGTACTTAGTCAGATTCTATTGATAAATCTGTGTCAAAAAATGAGAAAAACGACGAATTAATAAGCTTATTTTAAGCAAAATAAGCACGATACATATATATCTAGAACAGAAAGTAAATTAGGATCTATGTCGAGAAATAAAGAGTTCACTCAGAATGTTCCAACAGAAACTTCGTTTGAGAAACTTGTACAATGCTGCTCGATAAATCTCTGCTGGCAAAATGAATACAAAGAGCGTAACCATCGATGGTAGAAAGCCGACAAGATAAGCGAATAGACTGGTAAGTGGATATCGATCGAGTTTGGTACATACAAAGATAAAGATAAGTACAATACGAGGTAAGGCGAGAAGGAAAAGTATTATAGGTGCGATAAGTATATGCTTGTACTTGTTAATTAGTTTTTTGATAGCTTCACGTTCTAATTTCGCTATTCTATTTTTTTCATCGGCTGAGATGATATCAGTGTTGCCAGGCTTCGCATGTACTTTTTGTTTCAAGCGAACAGTGCCTATAATAATAATCACACTAGTCACCAAGTTTATTATTGATGGACCAATGAACAGCAAGATATTTGAGATTGAATACATTGCAAAAAAGACGGGTTGATCAGCATTAAGTGTGAGTACACACCAGGGTCGTTCATCGTTCGTATCAGTAACAACTTGACGCAAGACTAGTTCGAATGAGCAGATGGCAGCTGTACATATGACAACGCCTGGTATAACCCATTTTGCTAAATATTTGCTTCTTGGACGAGAAAATTGTGTTTGACGTTTGACAACCATCGTACGTTCAATTGCCACACATGAGCCTAACCATTCACAACTTGTCGGCCACCATTTAAGTAGAAATTCCAGAAGTGAACAACTCCAACGATTTTGTTCGATACTTAATAAAACAATCATTTTACACATAAGTGTGATTATAGTAAGAAGATTGATACATGATGAGGCGAGCAAATAAAATCCACTACCTGAATCATGTGTGGATCGTTGAACAAATGTGCCAATATTAAGCACATTGAGGATGATGCCGATCACAACTTCAATGCTAATTACAACAATAATAATTTTAACCATACTTGTTTGATGTCGAGTAGTGGTTGCTGTTGGTCGTAAGTGTGAGCCAACAATAGCATCAAGTGATAGGGAATAACCAGCTCTGGAATATTGACAGTTGGCTCCGAAGGAACATGGTTCACAGATGCATAACGATGTTGTTGGACACACATCCTGATCTTATATACACGTACCTCTATTACTACATTTGTTCGTGCCACATCTATACAAGTTGACATCAAAATTAAAACAAACAGCATGATTAGTATTATCGCAGATACACATTAATTTATCATCATAGAAACACATCAACTGTTTGCCTTGATATTTTCTATCGAGACAGGATCGTTGATAATTTTTGACACGGCGCAATAGGGGTTGAGCAAGCACAGTAGAATTAAATAATTCTCGAATTGGAGAACATCGGCGAGACGAATTAATCTCCACATTGATCTCTCTTAACCAAGCTCCGCCCTTTTTTATTGACAATAAATAATAGTCAAATTGATGTTGATGCTCATAGAGTTGAATGAAAACTAAAGAGTCTGGTATGTAATCTTTGACAAAAAAAAACGTAGAATTGAATAGTTCTCGATGAAGACGATGAAAGTAGACGAATGATCGGAGTTCTGTCGAAATTTTTATAGAAACTACATAGATGAATGCAATCCTCGATGATGGAATATTGATAGTGTGAGCGATTCATACATGAATTCGTGCACTAGGCTCCTCACACTGTTCACCGGTCCATTCTGGATTACACAAGCACATAAATTGTAGCTCGGGAGATAGACGCGAATCTATTGGTACACATTGTCCATGGCCATTGCAGCTATTCTTAGTACATGGATTGAATATAATCAGGCATCGACGACCAGTGCGATTCAAAGGACAGACACAAATATCTCGACTAATATCGATATCGTATCCAAGACATAGAGCAGCAGATGAACATGATGTACAGTGAGTATTATTGATGAAGATTTGTGTTGCTCGTGAAATGTTACCAGTCTCAGGCACGAAAAGTCGTTTAGTAATTCGAGAGACTGGTAAAAACTGGAAAGGGACAACAAACTGCCACGAGATCCGATGCTCGAGTGCTGCCGCAGTAAACACATGAATGTGCACAGAATAATTGGCTAGCAGAAACGACTTGTCAATTGGATAGAGTAACTGTGTTTCGTAACGAGGCAAACAATGACGGTGCGGTGTGTAGATATATTGTTCATGTGATACAATAGTGTTCGAAGTACTGTTACTTACTAATAGGATGACAATGCGGTATATGGAAAGAAAAGGATCAAACACATTTGTTACTTGCAGTTTAATTATCAATGAAACTCGTTTGCGCTGGAACTGACAACGATCACTGTTAGCGTCAACAGATGACACTATGTTGCCGCTAACTAATTTAGT